CAGCCAAAGCCAGCAGAACACCATCAGAGCGATCAGCACCTTCCGTCGACTGAGCATCGTCTCGATTCCTTCCGTTTAACGCTTCACTACCGTCAGATTCCGCCGCATTCCGCTACATCGTTCAAGCAGCATCGAAACGCCAACGCCAACGACGAAGACGACAGTCTCCTGCAACAAGCCGTTCTCATCCAACTATGGGCTATGCCCGGCGCTGTGGCCGATTTGCTGGATGCACTGCAGCAGAGTGTTCCGGATATGGTAGGTGGCGATATCTGTGATCATCGAATTTATCTGATCAGTTGATCAGTTCTGTTGATCAATCTGATCAAGTTGATCTGATCAATCTGATCAACCTGATTAAATCAGATTTCAGATTTCAGCAAATTTCACAGCCAAGCAAATTTCAGACCATTCGACTTGTCGGTGTGGAATATGGTGGTTTGGACGTATGCCGATTGCTGGTGAGCGCGTTGGATCGTAACGGTGCGCTGGTTCAACGGGACGAGACCTATCGTCTGTTGCAGCACTATTTCAACACAAGCAAGACAAAGAACCAGCGGATCGGCCTGGAAAGAGGAGACCGGAATGTTTTTGTTCGCGACTTGGTGACGGACCTCTGCACTCCCACCGGAAGCCGAACCCGGCTCCATAACGGAGCTCGAAAAGCAGGCTCCGACTCCGGCTCCGGCCAGTGTTTGAATGGAGGTCGTTGTGAGCAGGTCGATACACCTGCGGCTGCTGCTGCTGCAACTGGTGCAGCGCAATATCTGCAACTGGATGGCCGGAAGCTATCACTAATNGCAAGGTATGTGTTGCTGTATTGCTGCTGCTGCTGCTACCTGAACAGACGCTTGAACCTGAACTACGGTAGTAGATCGGTTAGAGGGAGGGAGGCATAGCGCTAGTAGGTCAAAGGTCAAAGGTTAAACCTCTTGTGAAAGGTCAAACCCGTTCGGTGTATCCACTAAACTAAACCAGTTCAATTCCAGGTGCCTGTGTCAACCAGGTACAAGCGGTGATCGCTGTGAGCTGCGGCAAGCGCAGTGTGGAGGCTCCAGCTCGCTGGAGTGTTTGAATGGTGGCAGCTGTGACCCCTTGACGAGATTATGCGTATGTCCGGAAACTTATACTGGTGCGAGATGCGAAATTAGCGAAGCAGACGGAGGCAAACCAGGTGGAATCGGGCCGCAGACTCGGCAATTTCGTGCGGAATCGTTTACGGAGATTCGAATGCCGCCTATGCGTCAAGGTCAACGAGTAGTATCGCTGGAATTCCGCACTAAGCTAGCTGTGAGTGGTGTGGTTTCTTGCGGGAAAATTTGCGGGAAAATTGTAAAAATTTGGGGAAAATTTCACCAATTTTACCACCACTAAATTACCACTTGAAAATTTAGAACGCCCTTCTGCTCTACTCGTACTCGACCGGGAATCTGCACGACTACGTGGCGTTGGATATTAGTGACGGTCGTCTCAGGCTCGCGGCTGCATCACGTCTAGCTGCTGCTGCCGCTTCCGCCGNACGACTACGTGGCGTTGGATATTAGTGACGGTCGTCTCAGGCTCGCGGCTGCATCACGTCTAGCTGCTGCCGCCGCTTCCACCGCACCGGATCCCGGCGGAGTGTTGCTACTGTCGAATGTGAGCGTCAATGACGGCGCGTGGCGGCGTGTTCGTGTCGAGAGCCGGCCAAACGATGCAGCCATAAAGTTCACTTTGGACCAGTGTCAGGCTTCTGCTGATGAAGGCCTAGGCTGTCAACCGTGCGCCCAAGACGACCACTCGTGCGAACAACGCTTGATACACGTGCAAAATGCTGGGTGAGTGGCAGTGTGCGTAGTTGGCGCAGTGGTAGCGGTCTTGTACCTTGATTGATCGCCATTGCGTGAGAGGCGAGGGTTCGATTCCGGCCTGGGCCCGTTCGGGGATTTTGCCTCCAGATCCTTTTGCATTATTTTTATCCGTTAAATTTGCCAGTGAACTTGAGATATCACCCCATTTTTGTGGTCGATTCGCAAAATTTGAACCAAAATGAAGCCATTTTCAGGCAGTTTTGGTCACGAAGCGATAAGCTTCTGGTTGGTGGCATTAAGGATATACGAGACATTCAGAAGAGGCCTAATCAGGTATGGATCAATCATTTGCAGACCCGAAAAACTTGATCAGATCATGCCGGTTGATCAGATCAGTTCACATGCTGATTCCTCCTCCAATTTCAGGTCTCTGCCATCGACTTTGTCGGGTGTATCCGTCACCTGCAGGTGGACGATCGCACCTTGGACGCCCAGCAGAACGCACTGGAAATTTTGGCCGAAGAAGGCGTGATTCGCCAGACAGGTTGTGGTCCAGCGAACTCCAACTTCGCTGCGGCTACCGGAACGGGCTCCGTGGCGGCGGCGGCTCCGGAGCGCGACCTGGCGTTGGAGCCCAGATCTTGCGCAAACGACGCTGAGATGGCTGCGGAATGCAGCGGCAATGATCAAGACGACGACGTTGGCAGCACTGGCGCTGGAGTATGCGTAACGAGCGAATCGTCGTCGGCGGCGGCGGCCGAGGCGCATTGCGTTTGTAAGGGTGGTTTCGACGCGGCCAGTTGCCGAGCTGGTAAGTGCGGCTGCGGAAAAATTATATGACCTTCGGATGACCTCCGGAATTTATATGACAGATGACCTCCGCAATTTATATGACCGATGANATTGCGTTTGTAAGGGTGGTTTCGACGCGGCCAGTTGCCGAGCTGGTAAGTGCGGCTGCGGAAAAATTATATGACCTCCAGATGACCTCCGGAATTTATATGACAGATGACCTCCGCAATTTATATGACCGATGACCTCCGGAAAATTTTTGAGAGCTGAATTTTGAGACCAGTTTTAGCTACCGGAAAAATTTCGAAACCTGAATTTTTAGCCGGGTTATCTAAACTTTTTCAGCCCTACAAGAATGGACTCTACTAGACGGTTCCGTAAGATTCGGTCTAACTCGTTACGCGCAGCGTCAAATTGCCTTCGTTCCGGCGCGTATCNCCAAAAAGAAGAGCACCAGCCGCTTCAGCAGACCCTTCGCAGACCCTTCAGTGGCTTCGTGATATACCATGTGACGAGATGGCTTATGAGTAAGTTGTGATGATGAGTGATAACTTTTGACCTCTGATCTTTGGTCTTTGAACTCAGATTGACCCCTTCTCTCTTCTTTAATCTGACCCTTAAAGTGGTTAAACTGCGTACGTTTTCAGGGCAGGCGACCAACTGGACGGTGTACTGACCCAATGGGCTGAGCTGGATTTCCGCACAACCTCATCGGGTGGCGATGGAACAACGCTTCTAGCGGTTGTAGAGGCACATAAATCCACGCATTTGAGGGTATGTATTTGGGGGGAGTGATATTGTGCTGCGAGATTTGAGCTTTGAAAGTATCACGGAGCAATTTTGTACACGATTTATATAAGATACTTTTGAAATATCGCCGATTTTTTGCGATATTTAGCTGTGAAATTTTGTTTAGGATGTTTAGGATAAAGTTTCTCGAATTTCAGCTCCGAAATGGCTTGGTGCACATGCTGACCTACATCGCTAACGCTACACCGATCGAAGTCCATCTGAATGTGCCGGTAAACGATGGACTATGGCATCGTCTTGGCCTGCAGATTGGTAGCAACGGAAAAACTCTCCGTTTTCAGGTGAACACATTGGATTTGAGGCTGTTTTGGGTGGATTTTGGGCTGCATTACTTGCAGTTTTGGGCTTTTGCAGCGAAATTCTCACAGAAATTCCCTGTTGGTAAAGAAAATATCCAATAAAATGTGTGCTGCTGCAGGTGGATGGTCACGGCAAAGAGGTTCGTGCGGCCGAAGCGTTTCCGCAGCTGATTTCCGCCTCTCTACGCTACATCTCGATCGGAGGTCAAGGCCCGGAGGAGGATGATGCGATCAATGGGGTCAAAGCTCGAGCTCAAGCTCAAGCTCAACAGCTAGGGTCAGCAGGGTTCACTGGTTGCGTGAGACGCTTCATAGTGAACAATCAGGCTCAATTACTACAGAATTCGCATGACAGCAGCGGCAGCCAAAAGCATCGACTCACTGAACAAGTAAGTGGTGAATATGAAGCTGCATCAGCTGAACCGAGTGGCTTAGTGGTAAACGTCTCGTCTCCCGCACCGGCAGGCCAAGGGTTCGAGTCCGCGCAAGGGCAGGCTCGATACATCCGATTCAGTTTCTCTTCACTTTACGATTAAAGCTCAAATTTTGTGCCCGAATTTTCGATTTTCCATAAATTTTTTCTCCTGAGAATCCGGAAAATTTTGTCATTTTTGTCATTTGTCAAAATTGTCATCAATGATTTTGTCGTTTTCAGCTTCTAGAAGTGCTCCACTCCGACGGCTCCATACGTTTGGGGTGTGCCCTGTCAGATGGTGCATTGCTACATCAAACTGGAGCCACCTCGGGGTTGAGTTGGAGCGCCTTCTGGCGTGTTCTCTGGGTCGGACTAGCACTGGCTGCCGCATGTCTATCGTGCGCTACGACTGTGGGACTGTGCTGGCGTCGATACTCGACAGCCACAAGCAAATGGCCGCTATCGTTGAAGTGCCGCAATCGTCTTGGCCGATGTCCTCTGGTGTGCACTGGCGGAAAGACCAGTGGAAAGGCATGCGGACGGCCTACAGCAGCCCCTAGACTAGCCCCAGGACCACGCTTCTCCAAGGCTCTTGCA